TAAGGAGGGTGAGTTCAGGGAGGGGATGTTAAATAGTAATAATTATTACACAACCACACAAGTCAAGGCGATAGGCAAACAACCACACACAACAAAAATTACTTGCAGCCAGAAAACTAACACATCTTCCGCTAAGGTCAGATCTCTGGTGGTTCCAGGAAGGCAAACTATTCGTGCGTGAAACAAAAAAACAACAAGTACACAAGCAAACCCTGTTGACCCAATGTTTAAACGTGTACCTTGTTTATATCTAAGTCTAATGGTCACACATGGTTTTACCAAAGGCTCGCGTATGCTCGCTAACTGCACCGGCTCGGTCGAAGTGGCTGCCTTGATTGCCTAGCCTTTGAGAACGAAATGTTTGCTGATGATCTGAAGATACGGAACTCAATCGCATGCTCGGATGATGCACAGAGCCTACAAAATAACTAAACTTGCTTGCGAAATTGGCGTGTTGAGTGGCTGCTGCCCCTCCATTTTAATAAATACCAAGTCCTTCCCATACGGTCTCTTTAGAAAAAGGAGATAGGATTAGAGCATGAGTTCTTCAGCGGAGGTCATTACCTCGAGCAAGTGAACGATATAACGAATCTTAGCATATTTATAACGTTTACATTCAATCTATCAACCCACTGTGCCAAAACTGCCTAGAGCGCGGCGGCATCTGTAGGCCCTTTGCTCTACAGTAGAAAGTTTTCGTGGCATCTTCACTAAGACATTTTATATATTTGTAGAGACTTTTCCGCTACAAATTTGGTGACCCCGCTTTTATTGTTATCCACGTCTTGCTATTTATTCCATTCACCTGTTTTTCACGTTCGATTTTGCGGTTTACACTTTTTCAACATGGCCGAAGAAGATCAACCTTTTTACGAAGCCGATTCAGGCGATTCTGCTTCTACCAGGTCATACGCATCAGTCGATCGGCATGAACCTCATGCTTTTCAGATTTCTATTAAGCTGCCCCCGTAAGAGGTTCGTGACCCTACAGTTTGGTTTAAACAGATCGAGGCCGTTTTTGCCACACGTCGTGATACTAGCGAGCGTACACGTTACGCGTATGTCGTTCAGTACTTACCCTTCGACGTCGCCTATGCAGTTCAGGATCTTCTTGATCCTATTCCTAGGGATCAGCCTTATTCTCACTTGAAACAGGCTTTCCTCAAACGCACGGCACAATCTGCCGACAGCAAGCTCAACCAGCTCCTCAACAATGTGGAGCTCGGTGATCAAACGTCTTCTGCCCTCATGCGCCACATGCGGCATTTGCTCGCTGGTCGCACTTTAGACGACTCTATTTCCGCCGCATTTGGATGGATAAACTGCCCATTCAATGTCACAAGTCCTTGCGCTGCTAGACGACACTGTCCCGCTTGAAAAACTCGCGGAACATGCTGATCGCATCCAGCAATGTTTTCCCGGTGCTAGTTCATACTCTGTACATCAAGCATCGACCTCAATGCTGTCTCTCAGGTTTCCATGTCACGATCTGATCGTAAACCTGATGGTCGTACGCCACGACTGACAACCAAATCGCGTGGTATGTCATCCCCGCGGTCGAGTTCGCCCGCCCAACTGCTTTACGATGTTCCGGCGACCAGAGACGACGACCTACAGGACCTTCAAGATACTGTCAGGTTATTGTGCTCTCAAGTGAGCACAATGTGTTCCACACTCAACCGGCTACAAACCGGTCGTCCCTCTACAAACCGCAATCGCTCTAATTCAAAAGAGCGTGCAGACGACAAAGTCTGCTGGTACCACCGTACGTTCGGCCCGGATGCTATTAAATGCGTCCCGCCTTGCACCTATGCTAGACGTTTCCATTCGGGAAACGGCGCCGCCAGCCGGTAATGGCGACGACTGCTGCTGGTCACTCGCAACCCAGTCGCCTATTTATGTATCCGACAAGTCCACAGGGTTCTGTTTCTTGATCGACACGGGTGCAGAGGTGAGCGTTTTACCGCCCCCTCGACGTCATCATCTCCAGCCATCGCAGTTTGCACTGCAGGCTGCGAACAACACCACTATCGCCACGTTCGGTCAACTGTCCCTAACTCTAGACTTTGGGCTTCGTCGCCGCTTCCAGTGGGTTTTTATCCAGGCTGACGTTCAGTCGCCTATCATTGGAGCGGATTTCCAGTCACATTTCGGCCTCACAGTCGACATCAAGCACCAGAAAC